TAAATGTCTGCTGGATGTCCACAGGAGGTTTTTCCACTTGTCCAACTAACTTTAATGAGTTTTCCTCTTCCTGAAACAAAGAGACGGTGCACGATTGGCTTTCTAACTGATGGTCTTAGACCTCGGAGAGTTAATGTTTCAACCACACAAGGTCTGCTGGTGTGTCAGAGCTACAGGTCATTGTGAGACCTTTGTTTTTGTTTTTCTTTTGTTTTTCCTCAGATGCTTTATGAGCTGTGAGAAATTACCTGAGGTGTAGGTGCGCAGTTCCCACTGATCTCAGTGCAGGTGTTTAAGATATAATGAATGTGATGTAACGAACAGCTCCTCCAGGTCTGATGCAGTCAGTTGCTGGGACCAGTCGGTCATTAAGCATTAATGTGGAAATTTGTAGGCTTTGCTGGCTGCAGGCTTCACGCTCATCAAAACTTGCAAATACCTGATAATGTTTAATGAAAGCTGCAAAGTGTTTGTTTTGCAGACTTCTGACTGTTCTGTCTGTGCCTCTTCTAGCCATCATGTATGTGATGGGAGCCCTTGGACCCGCAGCTGGCTACCTGCTTGGAGGTGTCCTTATCGGTTTTTATGTTGACCCCAAGACTGTTGTCAACATAGACCAGAATGATCCTCGATTTGTTGGAAACTGGTAAATATGAAGCTCGTTTCCTCGTGCCTGCTGTCCTGTGATATGATCATGTATTTTATAAAACTTTCATTTTTCTTTTCCTTTCAGGTGGAGTGGTTTTCTCTTGTGTGCCATAGCTATGCTTCTGGTCATCTTCCCCATGTTTGCCTTCCCTAAAAAGCTGCCGCCACGCCACAAAAAGAAGAGGAAGAAGAAGAAGATTGGCTCACCGGGTGACGTGTCCAGTGATGATGACGTGATGAAGGAAAAGTCCAATAGCAAAAGCCAAAATGTTTCCTCCTCCATGGGCTTTGGAAAGGATATTAAAGGTGAGGAACAGATAACATTATTTTCACTAAGTATTCCTTATAGATGGATCTCTAGGTACCTTACACAAAGGACCCATGAGCTACTGATGTCCAAACAGCCTTTAATTCAATCAATGACTGGGATTAGTAATTTTATACTGTAGTGCAAGGTTCACTGAACTCTCCTTTAAGGATGTTATCGATTAGTGATGGAAGAGCGTGTCTACATAGATGCCTAATGAAGCAGTAAACCTTGGAAGTGTTAGTGGACTTTAGGTTCTATTAACTTTAGTAAATAAACAGTAAACATGCCTAAAGGTCACACACAGGACAGTATGGCTGCACAGTGAACTTAATTTTAATCATAGTCACAATTTTGGCTTCCTGCAATGAAATGAGCTCCATTTTAAAATACATGCTCTGCCAATTAAAACACAAAGCAAAAGCAAATTAAGCACTTCTTAAATTAGGACCGACCAGGTGCCTGCATGTGCTGATCGCAGCTGTTCCCTGCACTGTGCTGCTTGAAGCTTCCTACACTAGCCTGGTTGAGTAATACTATGTTAAAAGACAGATTTATAAGAAAATTCAAATGTTTGGCACAGGTACAAACACAAGTTGGCACAAATTTAAAAGGAATGTAGCAAAAGTGAAAGCGCTGCTCCTTTTTTTGGTCATTGTTGAATCAAATAATCATGATTATCAT